GAGAGGCGCGCGGCCCGGGCCAGCTCGGTCTCCGGCGTTAGCGCTGCGGCCGTGGAGGAGGACTACGGCGACGAGGACCAGGGCCGCCGTCTCCGCTCCCTGCGTGCGGCGCCGCTCTGCTGCGCTGACCTGCCCCGGGGAGTGCAGGCGGAGAGGCGGGATGGAGTGATAGGGAAGGTGACTCGGGGATCGGGGCGGCAGGACCGCGAGGAAGTTTGCCAGGGAGGATCGGCCTGGGCAGCTGCGACGCCGGGGAGGGGTTCGGGCCGGGGACCCTCCATGGCGGTGCGCCCCGGGTCTGGGCGGACTGGGTGGGGGCGGGCAGGAGCCGCAGCCGCGGAGGGCGACCCGAGTGCGTGGCCGCTGGTGGCCGGGTGTTTCATCACCCATTGCCACGAGGCTTCTTTAAGGCAGGATCCAGACTGGCCCGGGAGGGTCGGCATCGCCTGTGCCCCCCATGCCCATTTGTAGCCATCGTAGTGCGTCTCACCAGTTTCATCTACAGAAACCTCCAACTTGATTCATCCCCCACGCCAGGGCGAAAGGAGGAAAAGTGTTATTTTCATGTAGTACTCTGCCAGCACGGATGCCCCATTTCTTGTTTAACCCTCCTCGCAGCCCTGCAGGAGTAGAGAAGCATCACGATGTTCCCTTGAACCAGAAAAGCGAGTACTTTTGAAAGTGCTAATTAGTTAGTTGGGGAAGTTACGTTTTATTAAAGCGACTTGTCAGCGTGGTGTTGAAGGGCTGGGAAGATGAAGTGCTACCCTCTGAAACAGTCTGCATTAGGCGTGGAGGAATCTTTCCAAATTGTTTGATTTTGGATTTAACGACTATCCAGGAGAGTTGGGGCTTGGTATCTTGTGTATATTGCTTGCGTCCCCTCAGACCCTTCGCTAGACACGTCAGTGGAGTTTGTACTGTATTGTAACAGATGTTTAAGCCTGCACGGCTAGGTCGTGTTAGAATGTTACATGTGTACACACTGGTGGGGGGGTCCCTTTTTTATAGGGGCGTACATTTTCAGTTGTGTGCACACACACCGGTAATTTAGGTCCATTGCATATCGATTATCCTGTGCCTTTTCTGTGGAGAGTCTTGCTATACCGGCAACTGTAGCAAGCTTGTTTCTGTAAGTTGTTCAGTGAGGGTCTTCAAAAGTCCACAGAAAGTGTGTATTATGAAAAAAACTGCAGGGTTTTCTTTTCTTCATACCAAAATAAACTCATACTTTAAGTCTATTATTTCTTTGAACTTTTTGAAGTCCCTAGTATTAGCAGGGTTTTGTTTGTTTGTTTATTTGTTTGTTTTTGCATAGGGCACATGTGCTTGCCAGAAGAGAGAAGGGAAAGACAGTGAGAGGGAAAGTGAGAAATCTTTCCTGGGTCTGGGAGAAGGGGGATAGCCATGCTGCAGTCCCCTCTCCTCCATTCTCCTCTTCGGATTTTGGGCATGCATACACGGCATGATTTTCAAGCCACCCAATCCAGGACTGGAACCACCATGGACCATGTGGGAATCCAGTTTCTTAACCCCCTAGGCCACCTGCTGGCCCTTGTCCGTGTTTTTCTAGGACTGACTTGTTTTTTTTTTTTTTTTCCTTAAAGCCATGGCAGATTCAAGGAAGCTTTTATAGGACTTACCCGTCTGAGATTCATAGAGACTTGGAAATGTCTTTCCTCTCAGTGTAGGTGTTTTTCAGAGGACCGGTTATCAGATTTTCTTGTCATTTGTGGCTGAAGAGGGGGTACCCACTGCCGTATTTTGTGTTTTTCTATCTGTTCATGATGAGTGTAAGAGGGCTCCCCGCAGTGCCATTCCACACGTGCTGCCTCTGATTTCAGGTAACCTGTCAAGTGCCTACTGTGTGTCAGGCATGCTTTGCGTAACTTGTTTTATTGAATTTTTTCAAGGCTGTGAGGATGATGGCTTTTTCTTTACTTCATAGAAATGGCTCTCTTTCCTCAGGTTTTCTAAGTTGTCCATGTGGCCTCAATGGAATACAAACCCAGGTCTTTCCTAATCTCAATCCTATATTGTAACAAATATTCATGACAGTCCTTGCCGTTTAAGGTTAATAAGAGAAAACTAGTAAGCTGGCAGGGACAACATAGCTTTGCTTAGGAAGAGCATCTAATTCAGTTTGGTAGGGCTGGACGATAGGGGTCAAAGAAGTATTATTGAATGAGATGACTTCTGAGTTGAATTTTGAAGGACAAACAGGGGTTAACCAACAAGAAAGAAACCAGTGTGTGCAAAGATGAAGGGCAGCTCCCCCTGGAGAGCTGCCCTGTGGTTCACTGGCACTAGCCTTACTGAGCTGGGGGGAAGGTGAGTAGTTATTCAGAGGTGTTCAGAGCCAGCACTGGGGGTTCCCTGCCCTGCAAGTATATGAACCGGAACAGAAGGGGCTACGCTTTCTTCAAGACCTTTAGCCCGTACCTTGATTTATCGATTCTGGCAATCGGGGAAGACAGAAAAGAACATTGTAAGAAGGATCCTGTAACCTGGATCTGATTTTGTCCTTAGCATTCCTAGAATGCTGTGTCCCCTGACCCCCAATTAGTCCTGTAGTCTCTCTCTCTCTTTAATTTGTTGTAGGGTGTGTGCACTTGCAAGAGAGAAAAAGGGGAATTGAGAAAACATCCCCCCCAGGGGGAATGGCCACACTGCAATTGCTTCTCCATTCTCCTCTCAGGATTTTGGACACTCATACACACACACCTGGCATGTTTTCCAAGTCTCCAGGTCTGGGACTTGAACCGTGCTGTGGGCCATGGGGATCCAGCTGCCTTAATTGTCACACCACTGGCTGCACTCTTCACTCACCCCACCCCCATGTTCTTTTTATATAATTTAAGAAGCCTTACAGCTTTATAAATGAGAGTAGTGAGACCTTGTCTCATAGGTCTTAGGAGAATAAAAGTGATTTTCACCTCACTTAGAGTTTGTTCCATGTTTGCTTAAATAAATACACATGCAATCAAAAACTAAGCTTTTTGAGACCATGCTCTTGAGCATTTTAGACCCTATATTGCAGAGAAGTAATAACATTACAGAGATTTTTAAAAAAATGTTCATAAATAAGAGTAGTCAGTATTAAGCCACCTGTGAATTTTTGTATATACTGGTTTTTTTAAGTTATTTTATTTGACTTTATTTTTAATTTGACCAGAAAGGGACAGAGAGACAAAGAGGGAGA